AAGCGCCATCTGCGCTGGGCCACCTCAAGCCCGGTGAATCTGTAAATGCCTCTTCAAGGCAAACAGTGACAAATCAGTCACAAAAAAAAATCTAACAAACATCCATCTAAACTTTCGCATTTATAATATTAGTAAGATATGTTTCACATATATTTTGTCATCTTGCCAGATAAGTTTGTCGATCTATACATATTTATTATAAGCACATATTTCCCGTCAAACATTATTTTCACTTCTTACTATCTTACTTCTTACTAATATTATAAATGCGAAAGTTTAGATGGATATTTGTTAGAGTTTGTAGCGTAAACGCTTGAACGGATCTCGATGTTGGCATACTCGTAGATGTAGATGATAGCCTGGAAGAACACATAGGCTCATTTTTATTTTATTTTTTCAATTTCACACGAATGGAGTTGCGGGCGAAAGCTAGTAAACTATAAAGATTCTTATACTTTGAATTCCTTTATGGATTCAGGAAAATAGCAATTTTTATTTAAATGCGTATTTATTCTTGAATCATTAAAGTTTTGTTTCCATTATGTAAAAATAATTCCCGCGCTTTTCGACCTTCTGTCAGTTTGAAGGCGAGCAAACCACAGACTTCCGCGTAATCTCAGACATCGGAGATCAGAAAAAAGAAATAAAAAACATGTAAGATGTTTTTAATAATTTGCATTTCAAAGATTAAGAAGTTGCATGAATATTAAAAAAACCTAACAACCTAGCAATTCAAGAAATACAACGCTTTAATTTGACGCATTTAACGCTTTTCAAGCGTAGATTAAATCAATTTGTTTTGCCGTTTGAATTTAGCTAAACATAATTATTTTGTTTTTATAAACATTACATATTTGTTAAAAAAAAATTAAAACCGGCGATAAACCAATCGATTATTTAAAAATGGAATGTTTAGGGTCTTGGAATAGTCAGAATCGAAAGTTGGCGCGAAGATCGGCGTTTACGTGTGTCTTGTTTCTTTTTTTAAATAACTTTTAAAAATAGATGTCTCAACAGCCAGTTACAAGCCCGGCGTT